GCCCTGGCTTCACCTTATGATAGAATGTGACCTATAAGCCAAATAAGCCCTTTCCTCCTTAAGTTGCTTTTCCTTATGATGTTTTGTTATAGCAGCAGAAAGCAAACTAATACATATAGACACTCAAATATCTCAGAAACAAGCTCATCAAAGCTCTTTAAAATGTTCAAGAACATCTTGAGTTGAAAGACGTGTCAACTGGTACAAGTAAGGAGCTCATTGCTCATGTTTCTACAACTTCTGTCAACCTTTCACTCACAGAATTCCAACCCAAACATGCAGCAAGATTCCAACCATTCCCCATGACAGTCCTTTCCTAGGAAATGCTGACTCAAGTAAGTTGTGGTTTGTCTAAAGGTTGCAGTGTTGAAATGTCACTTCCTTCCTTCTATCCACACCCACCTCCGACACTCCACCCCCCATCCATCCACCCATCTATCCATCCATCCATCCTTCCATCCATCTGTCTGTCTATCTATCTATGTGTTTTTTAAGACAGAGCCTCATGTAGCCAGCCTGGCCACACACTTGCTGTGTAACCAAGGATGAATTTGAACTCTGGATCCTTTGGCCTTTACTCCCGAAGTGCTGAGAGTATAGGCATGGAGCACCAGGTTTATGCTGTGCTAAACATTGAACCCTTATAGATACATACCATACATACTTCTGCATACTAGACAAGCTCTCTGTCAGCTTGGCTCTATCCCCAGCTCCCAAACATCACTTCTCACAGCAGATCTATTCGGTGTGTTTGGGGATGAAAGTGTAGTTATGTCAGAACAAGAATTGTTCAGAATGTGGTCTGACTCTAGTCCAAAGAACTGTTTGGATATATGTTCTGAAGTAAGTCTCCACATAGTTCCATTCATTTAGATTTTTATGGTTAGTGCCATTTTATAATTTTGAAATGCAGTTTTTTCTATGAAGAGTTTCCATTTTCATTAAAATCATTCCAATGTGATTTACATTTTGCATACTATTTAAAATGTTATCTCACTTATATTTAGAACCAAAAGCTGCATGGATGGAAAAAGAGGACAGAATAATGGTTACCAGAGACTAGAGAGAGAGAAAGAGAGGGAGAGCTAGGGAGAAGTTGCTCAATAGGCCCAAAGATACATGTAGCTGGAGGGATAAATGCTAGTCCCTAGTCCTAGTCCAAGGCAGGATGCACAAAGCCAGTAATATTGTATTCTATATTCCAAACTAGATAAATGAGAAATTTTAGAATGATTTCATCATTAAGAAATGATAGGGCTGGAGAGATGGCTCAGAGGTTAAGACCACTGACTGTTTTTCCAGAGGTCCTGAGTTCAATTCCCAGCAACCACATGGTGGCTCACAACCATCTGTAATGAGATCTGGCTCCCTCTTCTGGTCATACATGCTGTATACATAATAAATAAATAAATCTTAAAAAAAAAAAAAAAGAAATGATAGAACTGCATGGTGGTGATAGAGTAATCACTAGGATTTGATCATTGCATAATATGTACATGTATCAAATCATTACACATAAATATAATTATTATTAATCAAAACAATAAAAATGGCTCAGATAGTGTGGTGCACGCCTTTAATCCCAGCACTTGAGAAGCAGAGACAGGCAGACCTCTGTGAGTTCTAGGCCAGGCAGGGCAATATAGTGAGACTGTGTCTAAAAAAAATCCTTAAAATGTATATTTTCTACTTTTTTTAAAATAGTGATCAATTGGATTTTTGTGTGTTAATTTGTATCCAACAACATTTTGAACACCACTAATTTTAATGAACTGCATTTTAAGTTTCTTTCTGAAGATGATCATATTATCCATGAACAAAGACAGCCTTGAGACACAAAAGCCCCCTGTGAGGGCAAGGTGACCAGAGACAAGGTATTTTTACCACATGTTAGTGGAGGTGGGCACTGAATTGGTGGTAAGCCAGGATAGGGCACATGGGCACAAGGAGCCTCACCATGAGATGGCAGAGGCAGGATCTTCTGGGGGTGATCCAGCAGGCATGCCCTAGGTCTGGAGAGGTGGGATGTAGAACGGAGCAATGTCAAGTTCCAAGGTTCACAGGGGTGTGGAATTGCTGTGTTGACACATGAGGAATATACAGGCTTGACCTCACAGGACCACTGAGCCTACCAGCTTTCTACTCTGCTTGAGCAAAGTGCCCCAAAGGACAACGCTCAGTGTGTGAAAGCAGGAAGAGCCCACTGAAAGAAAAAACTTAAAACAATGTCCCTCCCGTGGGTTACCACTATGTATGTGTGACCGGGTTGGTGGGAGTGCAGGCATGGGTCTGTTTATTGGCTTGTAAGTATAATTTGGCTATAATTTTCTTTGTTTTTGTCTATTTTGCTAACACTTTAGTATGTTCATTTCTATTCTTAAGTGCTTGTTTTTCTCTCTTGAACTTTATATTATATTAAATGTAACTTTTTTCAATATTTTAAAATGAGTTCATTCTTTCATAATTTCATGGAGGTATATGATACAGTCTAATCACATTCACCCTCTCACCCTCTTACCCTCTTCTCCCACTCCCACACCACGCACTAAGTCCACGCCCCACTATTATCTGTCTGTTTTGTGGCCCACTAAGTTTAATCGGAGCTGCCCACCGGGGCATGGGTGTGAAGCTCTCCACTGAAGCATGGGTAGCTCACCAGTGGCTAGACCACTGAAGACAATGACTTCCCACTTTCCACAGCAGTCGTCAACTACCGACAGCTCTCAAGAAATAGCTGCTCATGAATGCAACAAACATACTTAGAAGCCATCCCATGGCCCTCCTCTCCATAGTCTGGCTGACATCCATTTCACATCTTTTGAGCCTTGGAAGGCAACATGGATGTTCTATGGAAGGATGAGTAACCACCAATCATGTACACTTAGTACCTTGAGCAGCTGTGTGTCTCTGCATCAACTACTATTTTCAAATAACTGCTTACAGCTCTGCTTAATATTACTGCCATCTCACCGAATAGCCCTGTGACTGTACCTCACCTTCCTACACCTGCAAAAGGTTTTTCATCCACCTCCATTTCCTATACCACCCTGATACTAATCACTAGTCCCACTGAGTTTTTTTTCCCCCTTTTTGGTTCTACTTATACCCACAACAGCTAATATGCTAGCACACAAAATACTACTAGTATTTTATATTGTACTGTACTCCCTAAAATAATTTGTACTTAAGTCGTGATTGTTTTGTGGGTGACTATTATTCTGTGTTCATGGTGAGTTAACTCCTGGATACTGACTACTGTTACAGAATGAAGCTGACTTTTAGAGGAAAGCCTGGCACCCCTGTGGTGATTTGAAAGAAATGGCCCCCAGTGGGAGTGGCACCATTAGGAGGTGTGGCCTTGTTGGAGGAAGTGTGTCACTGTGGGGGTGGGCTTGAGGTCTCCCATGCTCAAGCTACACCTAGTGACACAGTTCACTTCCTGTTGCCTGCACAAGATGTAGACTTCTCAGCTGCTTCTCCAGCACCATGTCTGCCTGCACGCCACCATGTTTCCCACCATGATGATAATGGACTAAACCTCTGAACTGTAAGCCACCCAAGTTAAATGTTTCCTTTATAAGAGTTGCTGTGGTCATCGTGTCTCTTCACAGCCATTGAAACCCTGACTAAGACAGCGTAGGACACCAATCTAATAGAGGAAAATAGCACTTCAACCATACCCTGAACATTGCAATACCTCCATTGAAAGACAACTTAAATAAATAAAAAACACCCACAACCATCAATCTAACACCAGATATAAAGGCCCCAATGCAGAAACAAAACTAGGACAACATATGTCTTTGAAAAATCACTCCTGTAAATATGGCCTCCGATGAAAGGGACTTAGACAAAATTCCAGACAAAGAATTCAAATAGCCGGGCGGTGGTGGCGCACGCCTTTAATCCCAGCACTCGGGAGGCAGAGCCAGGCGGATCTCTGTGAGTTCGAGGCCAGCCTGGGTTACCAAGTGAGTCCCAGGAAAGGCGCAAAGCTACACAGAGAAACCCTGTCTCGAAAAACCAAAAAAAAAAAAAAAAAAAAAAAAAAAAAGAATTCAAATAAATGATTACAAATATGTTCAAAGATCCCAAAGAGGAAATGAAAATATTCCAAGAGAGATTTCAAATTCTGAAAGCCACAGCTGCTCATGTAAGCCACAACACCCGGAAGTGTCTGCCGTAATTGAAGGCGAAACAAAAACGTTCCAGGACAAAATCGGGCTAAGTGGATTCATACCCACCAAGCCAGCTCTACAAAGGATGTAAGAAATACTTCAGACTGAAGAGAAGAGCAAACACATTTAGTGATGTGTTTTAGCATTTCAAGATGCTCCAGAGAAAAGAATGCCAGAGTAGTTTAAGCAAACGAGAATGAAGCAAAACCCACAAAATTAACAGAATGACAGGAATTAACGCGTACCTCTTAATAACCACTGAATATCAATGGGCTCAATTCCCTAATAAAAATGATCAAACTGACATATTGGATTAGAAATGAAGTTCTCTCCTTCTACTGCCTCCAAGAAACACAGTGCATCATCAAAGACAGATACCACCTTAGGGTGAAAGGATAGAAAAAGATATTCCAAGCTAGTGGAACTAGGAAGCCATCAGGCATCACTGTTCTAATACCTGATGAAAAAGACTTCACACAAAAAGTTCTCAGAAGAGATAAAACAGGGTCATTTAACACTAAACAATGAAACAATCTATGAAGAGGGTGTTACAGTTCTAAACGAGGGGCTCACCAAGCACCAATGCACCCAGGTTCATAAAAACATATACTACTAGCCGGGAGGTGGTGGCGCACGCCTTTAATCCCAGCACTCGGGAGGCAGAGGCAGGCAGATCTCTGTGAGTTCGAGGCCAGCCTGGTCTACAGAGTGAGTTCCAGGAACGGCGCAAAACTACAGAGAAACCCTGTCTCGAAAAACCAAAAAAAGAAAAAAAAAACATATACTACTAGACATGAAACTGCAGTTTAATCCCAACACAGTTATAGTTGTGTGACAGATGTAGGGACCGTCCTTTGGTTCTGGTCTTCCTGAAGGAGTAAAATCAGGCAACAGACAGGTCAAGCAGTGTAGTGAGTAAAGCTAAGGAGGGCGCTCTAAAGAAGGGTTCGTGTGGACTGTCCTACCAAGGGAGCAGCCTAGTAGGTCTGCATTGCTGATTTGGGAGCAAGGGACAGCAGCTGCTCCCATGGTACAGACCAGGAGTCAGAGCCCAAGATCTAAACCAGGACTGAGTATTGCCTTTACCACCATAGCCTTGGCCTCCCACTTCACTGTCTAAAAGCTCCAGAACCTTCCAAATAGTACCGCAAGTTGGGGACCAAGTGTTCAAAATGGGAGCCTGTAGGGGAACATCCCAGAGAGAAAGTATAATGAAGCCTTTAACTTATGGGCCTTTATGGACATCTAGGAGCCTAACTATAGCAATGTTCAAAATCAGACTTTTTTCTTGATTGTTTGGTAATGTTACAATTATATGCCTGTCTCAATATTTATAGGAATAGTTAAACTACACATTTAAATTTGTGCTTATAGATCATTCGTGTTTCCTATTTCTTCTTCAATCATGTCCAACCTTAAGGGGAATGGGAAGGGGACAGAGATATCTGTGACTCTGGGATCAAGGTTGCAGAACCTGGGTAATCAAAGGAGCCAAGATCAAATGGGTTCACACACTGTCTCTCCATCCTCCTGCATCCTTCCAGCAACTCTTCTTAGGCAAGGAAGGTATTGTGCAAGGAAGGCATTGTATAAGGAAGGCATTGTGCAAGGGAGGCATTGGGCAAGGGAGGCATTGGGCAAGGGAGGCATTGGGCAAGGGAGGCATTGTGCAAGGGAGGCATTGGGCAAGGGAGGCATTGTGCAAGGGAGGCATTGTGCAAGGAAGGCAAGTGTGTTCACTGAGATGGTTAATAAAGGTCCAGCTACCGGGACCCAGCTTACGAGGAAAATAAGGGTATTAAACAGTACAACCTATGGCCAGGATGGTGAGAGAAACTTCAGATAGAGCCGGGCCTGGTAGCTCGTGCACGTATCTTCTCTGTTAGGAAGCTGGGGCAAGGGGGTAAAAACAACATGTGACAACGTGTTAAAGCAGCCCTGCTCTATTGTTGAACGACTTAAGTTCCTCAAAGGCTCCCTGACCCTGGGACCTTTTGTGATACAGAGGGAACTCCCAGGTTATGATCACAAGCAAGACAAGCTGGTGCTTTTGGGCTTTGAGTCTAGTTCTATTCTCCCTCTTAAACATTAGTCTAGAATTCTGTGCCTCCTCTTGCTGGGTTTGGCAAGTAATAAAATTCCACTGATTGATTCCCCTTTTTCTCTATAAATTCCTCTTTTTCTCTTAAAGAATTTGTGGGCCACCACACAGGGATAGGACTCTGCATACCTCACACAATATTTCTCCAACCCACTGCCTCCACACTTTGATTTTCAAACTATTCTCTTCCCTAAGCAAAAGCTCTCCCTAAGCAAATCATTTTGGTTTTTACACCAATTGCTTTATCTTGAGAAGCATGCCTGCCTCTCCTCAGTTAGTGACACACACCCTAGTGTACTGCATTTGTCCCTCCAATCACAAAAACACATTACCAAGAGAAACCAGAGAGGCTCAGTCTGTGCTAGAAGTCAACTCAAGACATGAGCCTTAGGCATCAGGAGAAATGACTTCAAGGTCTGAGTCTGGTGCCAAGGAAGGCATGAATGTCCTTTCATAGGCCCTCCAGTGTTGGGGAGTAAAGAGTGGAAAAGGGACAAGCCTCTATTTACAGTAGGTTGAATCCCTCCAGGGAATTTCAGGCTAGACAGACTCTGCCTGGGCCAGGTTGCCTCTCCCAAGGGCCCTCCCCATGGCCCCCTTCATTTCCTTGTTGCGGAAGCTGTAGATGATGGGGTTGCACATGGGCGTGATGATGGTGTAGAGGAGGGAGAAAGGCTTGTCTTTGTCAGGCCCATGGGTGCTGCGGGGATTCATGTAAGAGAACATGGCTGAGGTGTAGAAGAAGATGACCACAGTCAGGTGAGAGGCACAAGTGGAGAAGGTCTTCCCCCTGCCTGAGGAGGAGGCTCTGCTGAGGATGGAGGTCAGGATGCGGGCATAGGAGGTGACAATGAGCACCATGGGGCTGAGCAGCACCACGATGGCATCAAGAAAGATCACCTTCAGGCTGAACTTAGGGTCCCCACAGGAGAGAGTAATCACTATGGGGGCCTCACAGAAGAAGTTTTCTATGTGGTTTTCTCTGCAGAACGGGCCCCGAAATGTCATGTAATCAAGAAGGATGCCATTGACCATCCCAAAGATCCAAGAAGTTAGCACCAGCCTGACACACACCTGCCGACTTATGATCTGGGCATAGTTCAGTGGGTGGCAGATTGCAACATAACGGTCATAGGCCATGAAAGCCAAGAGGATGCACTCGGCCACACCCACACCAAAGACCAGATACATCTGAGTCAAACAGGAGGCAAAGGAGACCGTGTGGTCCTTGGTCACCAGATGGATCAACATCTGTGGGATGGTGGTGGTGATGAAGCAGATGTCCAGGAAAGACAGGTGTCCGAGGAAGAAGTACATGGGGCTGTTGAGCCTGGGGTCAGTCCAGGTGATGAAGATGATGAGGCCATTCATGGCCATGGCGAGGCTGTAGAGAGCCAGGAAGAGGCTGAAGAGCAAAGCTCGGGTAGAAGGGGAGCTCTGCTCAAAGCCCACGAGGATGAACTCGGTCACTGTGCTGCTATTCTTCTGTAGGTCCACCCTTTGGAGTCTGCTTTGAGAGGGAAGGAAGGAAGGACGGGTAAGTGAACAGAGTATAGGAGTGATCTACTTTGATTTTCTGTTGCTGTGAAAATAAACAATGACTAAAAGCAACCCAGTGCCATGGAATAATCCTGTACACTGTGAATATGTATTGATCTCATTGTTAATAAAAAAGATGATTAGCCAGCAGCCAGGCAGGAAGTATAGGTGGGACAACCAAACTAAGAATGCTGGGAAGAGGAAAGGTGGAGTCCAAGGAGTCACCAACCAGGCACATAAAGAGTCAGACACATAAAATGGGATAGAGGTAAAAGTCATGAGCCTCAGGGCAGCATAGATGAATAGAAAGGGGTTAAGTTGTAAGAACTAGTTAGTAACAAGCCTGAGCTATCGGCTGAGCATTTACAATTAATATTAAGTTTTTGTGCTGGTTATTTGGGAAGCAAATAACTTCTGCCTACAACCTGGGAAGGCAAAGGTTTATTTTGGCCCTAGGTTAAAGTCCATCATTAAAGGAAACCAAGGCAGAAACTCAAGTCAGGAACCCATAGACAAGAACTGAAGCAGAGACCCTGGAAGAACATTGCATACTGCCTTTCTCTCCTTGGCTTTGTTCGGCCACCTTTTTTAATACAGTCCAAGCACATACTCCCAAACACGGCACTGTCCATGGGCTTGGCCCTCCTGCATCGAGTATCAGTTAGGACAATGCCCCACAGGTATACCCACAGGGCAATCTGATGGAAGCAATTCCTCAACTGAGATTCCTTCTTCCCTGGTATGTTTAGGTTTGTGTTAAAGACTAGCCAGTATAAGAAGCTATTTGGATAACCTACTTCCATAAGTATAGACTAGGGGTAAATAAACAAAAAGGGTAGCAAATTATAATTACACTAAATTCTATTAAAGGCACAGAAAATGTCAGGGCTATTGTAGACTGCAATACTGTGACTATCAACCATGGATTGATTGATTGTAGGATTTTGTCCTGAAATACCATCTTCAATCTCTCCTACTTATATACAGAGAGAAGTTCAAGACTCACAGCACAATTGAAGAGAGATTAAGGATTACCTTCAGCTCCCATATCAATATAGGCAAGAGCTCCACCCCACACTATCAACATCTCACAGCCTAGTGGAGCATCTGATGATTGCCGAGCCGACACTAACACACCATGGGCACCAACATCAACAGCTTACATTTCAGTTCTCTCTTGTTTGCTTTTGATGCTGTATATTCTGGGCATTGGAGAAATAGTGAGAAGCTGACCCCTAGAATATCCAGCCTAATTTTACTCACCCACTAATCTTCTGGTTGTCTGCTTACTCCCCTGCCCAGCCAACTACCTGACTGATATTTCCATAGTTTTCTGGTTTGTCGAAGTGGTCTTAAATTGGTGGAATTGTGTTTAGAGACAAACAGGATGGCACAGTGTAGCTAGAGTTTTCCTGCCTGGCCCACAGTCAGGACAAATCTCTCTCACCCACCAGTCCCAAGCCGCTCAAACCCGATCAAGTAAACACAGAGACTTATATTGGTTACAAACTGTATGGCCGTGGCAGGCTTCTTGCTAACTGTTCTTAAAGCTTAAATTAATCCATTTCTATAAATCTATGCCTTGCCACATATAATTTATTACATATAATTTGGGAATTTGGGCGTAGCTTCTCTTACTACTTCCTGTTGGAGGGGGGCGCTGTATCTTATGGGGAAACAAAGAAAATTTTAGGATTATGGAATAGTCCATGAGGCTGTATCGTCTGAGCCAGATGCCTTCAAACCGTTCTGGATGTTGGATCATCTGGGCCATGGTGTCATCGGAGACCTTTCAGGGGGTCTTGGCTGGTCAAACCTGATGTATCTTAATCTGGAACAAATCTATAGCCTCTGGCTTTCTGTGGAAACAAAAGAGACTCTTTTCCAAAGCAACACATCCTTATATCCAAATTTTGAAGTCAAGGTATCTTTAAAATATATATATTGGTTTAACTCAACAGCTTTTACAATCAAATGTTTTTCTGCAGTTAAAAATCCCAAAGACAACACAATCCAGATTTTCTGTGTAATATCCATTTTTACGTGGCTTATTTTTTATACTACCTTTATTGTCTCTTTAAAGACATTATTTTTTAAAACTATGTATTTGTTTCTATAACTGTATATATCACCTTTTTTGTCTCTTTCAAGCCTACGTATATTTTACACACATTGTAAACTATTACATCTGAATCTGTCTTATTGTGAATCTATTGCCTTAAACTGCAGCAGCTGTGGCTGCTGGCTCCGCCCACCTCAGCTTCCCAACATGGCTGTGGTTTACCGCCAGCTCTGGGAGCTATCGTGGGTCTATGCTTTTATCCAAGCAGCAAGTAGCCCAGAAACCCTTTTTTGTTTTGTACTAGCAAAGGCTAAATCCACCATGTAGCTTAATGTGCCACTTGCAGAGGCCTCATTCCCGCCATACTGCAGGTTGAGCATGCACTCTAGGAACCCACCAGTAGCTCAAACTGGTAGCTGCCGCTCATTTGAGAGAGACAATTAGGAAACTGTTTTTAGCTCCGTTTTAGTATCTTTTTTTTTCAGTTTTTAGGTGGAAACTCTTGCCCCACGTTGGGCGCCATTTGTAGCTAGAGTTTTCCTGCCTGGCCCACAGTCAGGACAAATCTCTCTCACCCGCCAGTCCCAAGCCGCTCAAACCCGATCAAGTAAACACAGAGACTTATATTGGTTACAAACTGTATGGCCGTGGCAGGCTTCTTGCTAACTGTTCTTAAAGCTTAAATTAATCCATTTCTATAAATCTATGCCTTGCCACATGGCTTGTGGCTTACCGGCACCTTCACATGCTGTTTCTCATCATGGCGGCTGGCAGTGTCTCTCTGACTCAGCCTTCCACTTCCCAGCTTTATTCTCTTCCTGGTCCCGCCTACACTTCCTGCCTAGCCAATGGCCAATCAGTGTTTTATTTATTGACTAATTAGCAACACATTTGCCATACAGAACATCCCACAGCAGCACAGATCTAGAATTACATAACAAACCATTGCAGGGGCCTTTGAAGTGAAGACGTAGGCAGAATCTGAGAGTTCTCTTAAAGTGTGAATAGGTTTCCCACCAAGAAGAGAGAGTTTACTTTTCCTATGTAACCTCAATGAGTACATCAGACTCCAACACAGCAAAAAACAATCATGCAACAGTGTTTTGCAAGATTCTAGGATCAGTTTAAAAGCAGGGAAGAAACGAGCATTATTATGGATTACCATAAATCATTAAAATTCATTGAAAAAAGATGAAGTTAGACTAATATCCTGAGTGAAATTCCTCATTGCTGAATGTTGTAAGTAGTTCCAAATGCTGGCTACATGTTATACTCTCCTGGAGAATTTTAAAAACACCGCATATGCCCAGACTGTTTACCAGACCATTAAAACAGTAGGTATTGGGAGGTATTCAGGCATCAGTGCATTAAAATTTGAATTGACAAATAACAATCATAGATAGATAGATGATAGATAGATAGATAGACAGATAGATGATAGATAGATAGATAGTTGATAGTTGATAGAGATTGATAAATGATAGATAGATGATAGATAAATAGAGAGCTAGAGATAGACAGTCAGACAGACAGATAGAAGATAATGTGTATGTGTATGTAGTACAATATGATGTTCTGATAAATGTTTGTATTATGGGATGAATCAAAATAACAGCATATCTATCACCCCTCCCCCCACACACATACACATGAGTAATTTTTAAAGTTCTGCAGGCGATTTTAATGTGCATTCAAGCCTGAGAATCATGAAAATAGGTAAAGGTGGCCAACACTAAGGTCCTAATAGCCCTAGCTTCTGGCAACTGCACAGGTAAGTCCTTTATATCTTGTAGCAAGTTTCATATGTTTTCCAAGGCTAGTGAAATTTGTGAAAATATAAATTAAAAAATCTTTAATATCTTCATAAAGCAATCAAGCTATTAAGAACAGGACCTTTGAGAGTATATGAAGGATATATAACCAAGAAAATGTACTAATGATGGTACAATGGACAAAATGAATCGTTACCGAATAGAATTCAGTACTGCACTCAAACAGGATCACACCATGGCCAAGTGGTGTTCATTGCTGGGATCTGAGTGTCTTCTAGTGGGAACGCAGCTACATGGCTCACTGTATTAATACATGAAAAGTTAAATCCTCTAATTACGTAGGTGTTTAGGGACATTTGATAAAATTAGACATTAATACCGACTTTAAACAATTCTTAGTAAAATAAGACTAGAAAGATGTTTCCATGACACTATCTGATTCTACATTAAAATAATCAAAACAAATGGTGCTGCACATTCCATGTTTTACACACACACATCACAGCTCCTTTAAGCTTTGAAATTATCCTATGTGGTTGGTAGTCTTTATTTCGTCCTTGCTTTATAGGAAGGATCAACACCTTTCCCGAGGTCAGACAGTAAGTAGTGAAGCTGAAATTCAAACCCAGAGACCCTGACTCTAGAAGTTTCCTTGCCTTTACTTATGGGCTTTGAATAGCCTACAAGTACTAGTCAAACAAAACAAAACAAAACAAATGAGTTAAAGCAGCGTTGTGGTGGCATAGTCTTAACAAAATGCTTTAGGGAGGGATATCACTCCCAGCATGATGTATTTCAAGCTGCTAATGTAACACTGCTACTTATGAAGAGGTAGACGTCAGGTCACCATTAAGTGATTTCCCCACCACATAACGATGCAAAGACTGAGAGCATAGAGCTCAGAAGATGGTTCAGTGGGTAGGGAGCTTGCTGCACAAGTGTGAAGAACCACCTGGGTTTGAATCTCTAGAAACCATGTGAAGTTGGGTGTGGCTCCAATCCCAGGGCTCTTGTAGGACTCTGTGAGACAGAGACAGGTGACTCCTTGGCATGCTGCTGCGCAGCTGCAGACAGCACAGAGAGACCCTGCTTCACACAAGATGGGTGATGAGGACCAGCAGCTGAGATTGTCCTCTCATTTCCACAAATGTGCCATGACATGCGCACACCTCCCCGCATACACCGATATTGAACACACATGTAAACACACATCATACACACACAGACACTCATGCACACACATCATGCATACAAACTGAAGGCATAGATGACAGTGAAATGCAGTGGACCAAACTAGGAAGTGATGATTTTTGAATGTTTACTGTGCTTGTTTTTAAGCATAATTTACTTAGTTGTAAATCAAATTATCTGTTACTAATGACTATGATTTGATTGCCAGGTTTCAGAATTCTTGACAATCAAATACTTAGCTCCTTAGAGCCGATACATCTGGCTCCAGGACAACACCACAATGAAAATGAACGAGAGCCATTCTACAAATGCTTTCCTTTGAGGAGAGTGCATTTCTTCCCTGCTTTTGTGGTTCTGCCTCAGTCTATACTGGGGATGCCAGAACGTCTGTCTAAAATTCGCCCAGAACAGGCAATAATTCTGATCCGCTATTCAGTTCTCTACACTATGGCACATTCAAAATGGGACTCTCGGAAGGACTCATGCCTTACCTCATTGTGTTGCCGTGACTAAAATGGTCGGTCACAGGATCACTGCAGCAGATAAGAGAGAGGACTCCATGACACCAGAAGCTGAGCTACACCAGGGAGAACATCTGATGTTGGATCCACTCTGGAAGAAACAGCTTGTTAACACAGTGCAATCTGGTGGGGCATTTTCTCAACGGAGGCTCCTTCTCCCAGAATGATGCTAGATTGTATCAAGTTGACATAAAACTATCCAGCACAACCTGCGATTATTTTGCTAAATGGACATAGTATCAAACTGTCTTCCAGATTCATCTCTCTACTCATAGACTAGTGTAGCTGTCAGACCTCATCAGAGAAATTTCCTTGTACAGAGGTGGCTAACTTAGAAACTCACAACTGGTCAAAATGCCAGGAATAGGTGTCCATGGGGGCTTGGACACAAACAGGACTTCTATATCTCAACCCTCCTCAAGGCTCTGGGATCATCTTGGAAAAGAGAGCTTAAAGATTGTAAGAGCCAGAGTTCTGGGAAGACTGGAGAGAAATGAGGTCGCCCAGACACACGGGGCTGCTGCACTCACAGCAGCCGTGGTTGTCTGTGCTTAACCTGCAGGACATCAAGTCTGTCAACATTCAAGCACGGAGGGGGAGGGTAATAAGTCCCTAACTGAGGTTTGTTGTCAGTTGATGGCTTCTAGGGGAGAGAGAGAGAGAGAGAGAGAGAGAGAGAGAGAGTCAGTCTCCCTTAAGAGTGTGGTCCTGGTAGGTCCACCCCACTCCAGAGTCTCGCCTCACACTAGGAAGTATACGGACATCACAAATTCGAGCTGATAGGTTATTAATAATTTTTAAAAAGGACAGAAAGTACAGGAAGTAGGGGTCTTGGAAAGCTCGGAGGATAAGGCAGGGGGCGGGGGAGTTGGAGGAGAATATGGTCAAAATACATGGTATGAGATTCTCAAAGAATTAATAAAAATACATTCATTCCTTTAATGTAGAGACCATTTACCACTTGGGAAGATCAAGGACTTGGATTTAAACCCTGGTTCTCCCACTTTACCATGTATGTGATTTAAGTTATTTAAGTTACCAGGTTTCAGTTCCCTCATCTCCAAAAACAAAAACAATAACAGTTCCAATATTATTGGGTTAACTCGAGGACAAAATGAAGAATTCTTAGGAAATTTTTGAGACAGTGCTTGGCACAGGATGACGTGACAGAAACTTACTACGTCTAAGTGGATGGATCCATTGAAAATTTCATAAATTACCAGTTAAGAATCTTTATACATGAAATTGTACATGCCAGCATTGTGTGTAGAGAGAAACTTAGGAACTATCGCATGGGAATTGTTACTTAGAAAAATGAATGAAATATTTTGTAGCTATTAAAACTATATTCACAAATCCATGATAAATATATAATTAAAGTGAAACAAAAAGCAAGGTGTAGATCAGTGTGTTTGGAATATTCATGGCTACATTTAATTAAAACGAAACTTCTTTGGCCTCAATAAAAGATTGCTTATAAAGAATGGAGCTATGAGAGGGTTATTTTTTTATTTCATTTTTGTGTGTGTGACAGGGTCTTGCTGAGTGGCTCAGATAGACCTGAACTCGTCACTTCCTGCACCAGCACCCCACACACCACCACCTCCATGCTGGCATTGCAAACATCAAAGATCTATTTTTAAATACTCTTCTCTTTTGGAAACTCAGAATTCTTAGCACATTAGTATGCATTTAACGTAAAAAAGATATTACGTGTAGTGACAGTTAAACTCACGGCATAGCTAACCAGAGTGCATCGAGCGTAACGACTCCTAGGCATACAGACTTTAGATAGCCATAAATGATATGATTTCTTTCAGTACTAAAACAAAAAGAAATAGATGTCTGGACAGTTGCAAAAAAATTAGGAAACTCTGAGAGTCGAAGCATTGTAAATCACCACATAGAAGATGTTACAGGTTTGATGAATAGGAATTCTAGGAATTTCACCTGGCCATTGTGGAAAGGAATCACTGGACCCGCAGATAGGTTGGTTATGGGATACTCTGAACCCTTTACATGTTGGAATCAACATTTAACCAATTGTTAGGATTGCTCCTGGAATTAAGGGACACGGGTGCTGAGTTCTGACTAAGTCCCAGCAACAGGCTTTCTGGTGCTACTCATTTTGTCCAGGCCTCAGCAAGGCTGAGATTTATGTTCAACCCTTTCTTAACTATGACTCAGACTAACCCTACAAGTTCCTTAAATATAATAATTTTAACAGGGTCACACCCCTGCTTTGGGCTAGGTTATAGGCTCTGGGGCAGAATCCAACACTATTATTCTGCTAAATGGACACCGTAATAAGCTTTCCCTTGTGTTCTTCTCTTTATACCCATAGACCCATACATCTCTCAACCATCAGCAAGCCTTTGGCAGTAGATGGTGATTGATACAGAGCCCCGCCACTGATTACCTAGCAGAGAAGAAGACACTGTGGCACACTCCACTCTAAATGGGCATCTCTGTCTCACCCCTTCCTCCCAAGACTCAGGAATCACAGTGACACAGACGGCAGAAATTGTTAAAGCCAGATGTGGTGGACATCTGCAACAAAAGAGTGCTTGCAGGACGTGACAGCACTGTCACATATGCGACCTGACAGGAGCTATGACGGCGACCGAGCCAGCCCAAACTGTCCACAAATAAAAACAACCAAACAAACCCAATCATAACTTCCTTCTGAGAATTACCCCCTCCAGGCTACTTAATGTGAAAGAACAGAAGACACAAAGAAAATCCCTCTTTACTAAAACATACTCAAACTCACAAAACCCCTAAGAGGCAAAGAGAAACAGAAGGAAAATGTGTCCTGTTAATACACGCAGAGAATTAGCCTCTAGATATAAAGGGTTTGGGTATGTGCACAGAATGGGCTTAGAAGAAATCATGAAGGTTTTTGACACTGATAACAGCAAGAGCAAGCATTACACTGGTTCTCTTCTGTGATCTCAGCATGACCGCGGTTCGTGTGAGGTCTAGCATCATTTGGGCCAACTTGAAATTGTGTACTGATTGCAGAGATGACTGACGTAAGCCAAGAGAACACGTAACCATATCTGAAAGCCTTTGAAAGAACTAAGCAGTTACCTGTTCAACGACACGGACAGAATTAGGGAGTGAAATACACATTTGTTTGAGACTCAGTATCTATGTGTGAAAACCATAGATGGGTATTGTAGATACGTGCCCAGAGCTCAGGATTTGAACTTAGATAAACCAAGTCAAGTTGAGCATCTCTTCCCTGAAATGCTTGACACAGAAGTGCTTTGAATTTCACAGTTTTCATACCTGTAGATGATGAAATAGCCTGAGGATGACCTCAAGTTCCAAAACAAAATTCACTTACATTCCATATATTCCCTACGCACATTGCCTGAAAGTGGTTTAATACAGCATTTTAAACGATTCTGTGTACTTTGAGACACCATAAAGCAAAGGGCTAGCTCAGTCACTCATGACAACATCTCTGAGAAGGTGTAGCCAGGTTGAAGGGGGCTGGAAGGGCCTTTTCTCCCCTCAGGGATACTGAATACGTTGTGATCTGTACCTGAGTTTTGAGGCAACTGGTTACCTGAAGTCAAGTGATTGATACGGACCCTCAACAAGTTTGGACTTTCAGCATTTTGTATCTTGTGTGTTCAGCCTGTGGATGTCCAAAACATGCTTATATCTCAGTTTTGCCACTTGCTAAGAGCACCCTGCTAAGAGCATTTTCACGTGTGGGTTGGTGGAAGATGGACTGATAACAGAAATACTAAAATCAGTGTTAAGTAATGAACAGTGGTTATCCAATGCATGCTCACAGCTGCTCCTCACCATTTCCTTTCCCTTTTCTTCTTCGAACCATATATGTTGGAAGAGATCGTTTAGGATTTTGATCTCAATAGTTTGTTTAAAGTCCAGTTTTCTAGGTCAGAGGGTTCTTAAATAGCTGCCATGTTCTTGTAGTTCTTTGTACAGAGGGGGCATCAGTTTGAGAGTGAGTAAAATAGGGGGACACAGGAGAGGTTGGAGGAAGGAAGGGGAGGGGAGAAGTGATATAATTATATTTTAATTAAAGCAAGTTTAATAAAAAAGAGAAAAAAACCTTGTCACATGCCTAACTCCCATTCTATTTCTTTTTAATTCTGTTAATTCTGTAGATCTTAGAGAAAATGGAAAGGCTGAATCTATATTCATTGTAATATATTCATAAGCCTCCATAAGACACTTGAACAACTTTTCTCAAATGGGCAAGAAAGGAAAATGCATAGACAACCAGGAAATCTATTCACTGGGGGAAACGGATTGAGAAAAAAGCACTGATGAGAAAGAGGGAGGGGAATGAGTTATGAGACAGCTCAAAGGGGGAAAGGCAGACGTGTGAAAACACGCGATGGAATCAAATACAGAAATGACTGAGAATGTTAGGAAAAGGGGAAACAAGACTAGATTGCAAAAACAGAACCATTGCAACAATGGTTTCTGTAAGAGTCCACGGTTTGCATTCAGTTCTGAGCATGCTCCTCACAGGCAAGGCATGGGGAGTGGTTTCAAAAGGTTCCTTGTGCATGACTTACGGGGAATGGAGCCCGGAAAGGAGAAAATGCACTGACTTGTCAGGTAGCCTCAGGGCAGAAGAGGCAAAACTAACTTTTGAGAGTCCTCAAATATCTCTCCCACAGAGCTACTTGATAATAAATTATTTAAACGGAAAAAGATAGAGAGGTAGGACAATACCCTTTCTGCTACTGCTGTGGAAAGATGACGGGGAAACGGTGCAAAGTCAAGATGATGAGGGACACAGGAGGCAGGAAGCTAGAATAATAGAAATAAAGAGTCTAGAGAAAATGCGTAGTCAAATGGACAGACTAAGATGTCTGCATAAGTATAATGGGACTTTTTGATGGTTTGATGCAGTCAACTTCCTGAACCAGATGTTTGGAAGGACCCACCGCAGCCCTCTGGCTGAGAACACAGGTCTTTTCATGTTCTTTCCACGTAGATAGGTCAATTCAAAAGGAGACTCATCCTGACAGTAACACACAGTCCATCTTTCTCTCACCAGAGCCAGGGCGGGTGGGTAGGCAGAGCCCCAGACGGCAACACAAAGCGAGACACAGAGGAGGAAGCGTGTAAGCAGACAGAGTTGGGATAGCAGAGACAAAACCCGATGTCTACAGGAGAAACAGCAAGTGCGGGGATTTTGGAGTCAGATCTGTCACCCCTCCTCTGTGGCCACTGTGTGCAGAGTACAGGTGTGACCTGAATGAGGGGTTAGGAAGCGCTCACTTCTGGGATACCCAGGTCAGCTTTCACATGGAACGAAACATTCACTAACCTGTTCCACGAGCTGAGACACGTGCTGGAGAAGTCATTGGTTGAGCTGATCTTACATGCAGAGCAAAGGTGCAGTGAGTTCTGTTAATGCAAACCCACGGGATATTTATAGGATCGTGAGCTGCAGTAATCACACGCACACATGCAGACACAGGCAGGTAGTAGGGCAGCCAATGGGCTTTCAGTATCAAGGAGGAAGGAGCTGCTTTTCACTGCTCACCAATGGGAATCTGATCATAACTGACAAATAATCTATTCTTGGAGTGTGTCTTAATTGGCTGGCATTCAGGAGCCCAGCTACATTACTGCACTCCTAGAATTCCCGAGGAGAGTTGCTCACTGACAAAATGCCCTGGAATTTCTGTTTGAGAGTTTTTTGGTTTTTTTTTTTTGTTTGTTTTTTTGCTTGCATCTTTATTTTTCTATTCTTTAAGAATTTCATACACGTACATAATGAAATCTCACCATTCCCTCCCCCATTTCCTCATAGCCCCTCTAACAGATCCTCTCTCAACTCCATGCCTTCTTCTTTTGCTTTGGAGTTCATGCCCATATGAGCATGCGTGGGGTCATGCCCTGGAGCGTGGAAAACAAACCAGTGGACACGCCCTCACAGAAAAAGAATTCTCCCTGCCCCTGCAACGATCAGCTGCCAGTAGATGCTTGGTATGGAGTGAGGACTGGAGAGCACCCTCTATAGCTCTGCCAGAACTTCAGACGGCTTGATGTCACACAGACAACCACATCCGTGCATTACAGTAGCTGCTTTGAGTGTAAGAGTCATGCCACGCCCGGAAGACAGCACTCTTCACATAATTCCTCTCCACCCTTTGGCTCTTACATTCTTTCTACTTCCTCTTTCTCTATGTTCATCGACTCTTGGACGGCTAATAAAGATGTTCCATTTAGAGATGCGCATTCACAATCTCTTATTCTTAGCACCTTGACCGGTTATTTGTAGCTGTGTTGACTGCTGCCCACTGCAAAAACAAAAACAAAAAACAAAAAAAAAACAAAACAAAAAAACCCCCAAAAAACAAACAAAACTAAGCTTCTCTGATAAAGGTTGAGATCATTCCAGGTCTTTGGATATAAGCTGTAAATATTTAGAAGACAATTTGACAGCATGACCATTTGGCAAAATAGCAATAGCATTTTCTACCCTATGGCCCATGACCTCCCCAGCCATGGACTGTTGACCAAGATTACGGCACTAGACATGAAATCCTCTCTTTTGGAGTGGTCCTCAAATACATGTGGAAATCAGTTAGTTACCCCGTAATAGTCACGCCACCATTGTATCAGTGGCCACACCTTGCTTGGTGGGTCAATATTGTTGCATGCAGGGTGCACTTGTGAGTAAGACCACTTATGTCTTTGTGTCTGCCAGCTGCCAGCCTAGCACCTTCGGGCAGTATGAGATCTAGATGGCAAGAACTTTCTTGGTTGGTTTGTGATTGATTTTTCTATGTCATACCCCCAAAGATTGTGGTTTCTTCAGTAATAGGTGCTGTGGGGCGGTCCTTCTGTATACCATGAATATGTATTTCTCCCATTGGTTGATAATAAAGTTGTTTTGGCCTATGGCAGGACAGGATAAGGTTAGGCAGAAGAATCAAACTAGGACTCAGAGGAAGGGCGGGATCAGGACAGCCACCAAGAGCTGCCTAATAAGCAGGATGCTGGAGGACCAGTAAGCCACGGACCACGTGGCACTAGCTAGATTGATAGGAATGGGTTAATTTAAATATAAGGGCTAGTTAATAATAAGTAAGTCTGAGCCATTGACCAAACATTTATAAGTAATATTAAGCCTCCGAGTCAATTATTTGGGAAGCAGCTGCTGGGTATTTGAGAGTTGCTGGTGGGACAGAAACTTCTGCTTACAAATAGGATCTTACTACATAGTTATGGTGGGCAACTAAGAGCAATGGCAGTAGCCTGTGTTGCTTTAGAGACTTCCTGACTGTAGGGAGGGGTGGGGATTTAGACTTCCCCCTTATAACTGTCTTCAGTGTGTCCCATCGATTTGGTAGGGTGTGCTTCATTTTCATTCAATTCTGCAGTGAATTCAAAATTCTAGGAATTTTTAAAATTTCCTTTTTAATTTCTTCAGCAACTCATTCATTGCTCAACAGTTAGTTAATTTTCATGGATTTGTGGTTTCTTTTTCTGTTGCTATCTAGCCTTATTCAATTGTGATCAGTTAGAGTACGGAAAATTCTTTAAATTTTCCTATATTTATTGAGAGTTGCTTTGTGTCCTAATATGTGATGCATTTGGGGGAAAAAGTCCCATGAGTCATTGAGGAGACTATCTATTATTATGTGGTGTTTGGGTTGAGTATCCTGTAGATGTCTATTGAGTCCATTTGATTTCTGGTGTCATTTAAAGAGCATTTTTATTATATTTATTTACTTTATATGTGCAGGTGTACATGTGGGTGTGTACATTCCACTACACATGGAAGGAGGTCAGAAGACAACTTACAGGAATTGTTTCTCCCCATCATGTGGATCCCAGAGATGGAACTCAGGTGGGCCAAGCTTCCTGCAAATGCTTACAGTGTCGTTTAACTCTGACGTTTCTCTGTTTATTTGTTTTGTCTGGATGACCCATCTGTTGGTGAGAGAGGGGTACTGAGGTACCCACGAGTGCTGTATTGGGGTTAATCTGTGGCTTCACATTAAGAAATGTTTGATTCATGAAGTTGGATGCAGCCGTGTGTTTGCTGTGTGCTCATAATTCTAACCCCTCCCTTGATGAGTATGATGTCATCTTTTCTATCTTCTAAGTAGTTCCGATTTGGTTTGTCAGGCATTGGAATAGCTAGGCCTACTTTTTTTCCTGCTTCTATTAGCTTGAAATCCCTTTTCCCACCCTTTACCCTACGTTGGTACCTATTTTGGATGGTGAAGTATCTTTCTCAGAGGCAGCAAAAATCTGAATCCTGTTTTCTAATAGAATCTGGTAGTCTATGTCTTTTTATTGGGGAATTAGGACCATAAATATTATGAGTTTTATTACTGAAAATTTTTATTAATTCTTGTTTTGTTGATTTTTTTGGTGGTGTTTTCTTAGACTTCTTTTTGTTAACTGTCCTGTTATTGCTTATTTTTCCTGTGAGACTTCTTGGGGATGTTTCTTTCTCTATTCTGAAGTATTTCTTCCTCTGTATATAGCTGGCTTGCTGACCATCTATTCCTTTAGTCTGTTATTATTATTGATAGTTTTTTATTTATCCTTCAATTTTAACAGATAGTTTTGCCAGGCATCGTAAGTTGGGTTGGCAGTTGAGATCTTTCAGAACTTGGACTAGATTTTTCTAAGCCCTTTAAAAATTTCCATCAACTAATCAGCGGATACTCTAACCCACCTTTATATGTGACTTGGCTTTTCTCTCTTGCAGCTTTTAATAGTCTTTCTTTTGTTTGTGTTCTTAGTGTTTTAGCTTGTAATATGTCATGAAGCATTTCTTCTCAGGTTTTCTTTGGTATTTTCTTTCTGTAAGACTTTTAAAATTGGATGGGCAATTCTCTCTCTCTAGATTTGGGAATTTTCCTTCGATGACTTTATTAAAAATATTTGCTGTGCCTTTAGCCTAGAATTCTTCATCTCCTATGTACATAATTAATATGTTTAGTCTCTTCATAATGTCATAAAGGTCCCATATATTCCATTTATTAGTGTTTAATTAGAGTTGCTATTGCTGTGATGAAACACCATGACCAAAGCAACTCGGGGAGGAAAGGGTTTATTTGGCTTACACTTCCATATCACTGTTCATCATCAAAGGAATTCAGGCAGGAACTCAAACAGGGCAGAATCTGGAGGCAGGAGCTGATGCAGAGACCATGGAGGAGTTCTGCTTACTGGCTTGCTCCCCATGCCTGCTCAGCCTGCTTTTTTTAAATAGAACCCAGGACCACCAACCCAGGGATGGTACCACCCACAATGGACTGGGCCTTCCAACATCAATAATTAATTAAGAAAATGCCCTACTGCCGCATCTTATGGAGATATTTTTTAAATTGAGTCTCCTTCCTCTCTATCTGTGTCAAGCCGACATAAAACTAGTCAGCACAACTGACCCTTTATCAACTTGACACACACACATTACTGTTAAGCCACAACCTTTCCTTTCTTGTTCATCCCCAAGTCACACATTAATAAAGACATCACAATGTAAAACATTTTTTTAAAAAGATTTATTTATTTATTATGTACACAGTGTTCTGCCTACATGCATGCTTGCAGGCCAGAAGAGGGCACCAGATCTCATTACGGATGGTTGTGAGCCACCATGTGGTTGCTGGGAATTGAACTCAGGACCTCTGGAAGAACAGCCAGTGCTCTTAACTGCTGAGCCACCTCTCCAGCCCTAATGTAAAACATTTTAGAAACATAAAAAGTCCCACAACCTTATAAACTCTAACACTTTAAAAATTGTCTCTTTGAAAAAAAACCCAGTCTCTTTAAACTCCAAAATTTCTCTCTGTCTTTTAAAGTTTAAAGTCTCTCAAATGTGGGATCTTGTAAAATAAAAAATAAATTAGATACTTCCTTACTTCAAGAGGGAAGAACCAGGGCACAGTTACAATCAGAACAAAGCAAAACCAAACTCCAACAGTGTAAATAACTCAATGTCCAATAACTGGGATCCACTCGTGATCTTTTGGGTTCTTCCAAAGGGCTTGGGTCACTTCTCCAGCTCTGCCCTCTGCAGCACACACAGCTGGTCTTCTAGGCTCCAGCTGGCTCCACTTCCCACTCCTGCTGCTGTTCTTGGTGGTCATCGTACGGTACTGGCATCTCCAAAATGCTGGGGTCTGTTGCTGCAACTGGGATGCACTTTCGCCAATAGCCTCTCATAGGCTCTCTTCATGGTGCCAAGCCTCAACTTCTCTGCATGACCCCTTCAGTCTTGCCCTTCAATTGCCACTGAGGCTGCACATTCACCAATGTCCTCTCCTGGCCTCTCACATTGCCGAGCCTCAGCTGCTCTCCATGACCCTCTCCATGCCTTCAGAACCAGTACCACCTGGGTGACTCTTACACATTACCAAGTTCAGCTGCCAGCAAGAAGTACGACCTTGGCCACCTCTGAACACAGCTTCTGTG